ATAGTGGCTCACCAGACACATGTAATTAAGTATGTCGAATAATTAAGATGTTGCATAAGAATGAGGAGGCTATTCCCACATTCCGGAGGCAATATACAGGTTCAGAGAAAGCTGAAAGCATGCAAACTTATCTAATTGCTGACAGTGATTTGCCCTTATTAGCCTGCGATGCTACCCTGCACACGCAAATTCAAATGAGTACTTTCTGCAGAGAATCATACTTCAGCATTAGGCCTTGGGAACCACGACTGGTCTAGACTACAAAGACTGTAGTCTACGTGATGAGACGTGAAGAGACTGACCATTCGGAGTGAAATATTTGTTGCGTTGTGTATGAATAAGACTCTATTTCGCTTCGAACGAATTATGTTTTAGCCGTTAGGCCTACATATAGGTATTCATGACAACTAAACTAGGAAAACCCGTCGCTCTATCAGCTTCGTATCTTTTTTCACACCACAACACAGCCATTTTACCCAGTCCTGTCGACAGCCGCTCGCTCTGATGCTAATATTCTCTCTATCACCTGCTAACGACCTCGCCATCTTAGGGAACTTTGATGATAGCGCCCCGGCGATCAAACTGGCTTTTAGGCGAACCGCTAGACGCCTGAGGGGATAATCCAGGATAATCTCAGCCACCTAATCAATCTCGTCTCCGCCTCCCGCAGGCTCCGTCATTATTCTATCGAGATTCGCGGCGCCCGCACGTGGGCACTCGCATAAGGCTCTCACGCCTCACGCATTTAGCGTGGACCAGGCGACGCAAACAATTATCTCCCGAAAGCCGGAGGGAAGATCACGTATCGCTTGAGCGAATGTTTGGCGGCAAATCAGCGTCTGCTACCGGCACCTCGCGGTCCACTTTGCACAGATACTAACTGCAATGTGCAGCAGCGCTCATTTTTGTCTGCTTCTCTGTCGTTGTCGCTGAAATAGAAAGCCGTGCAGAAGCCCTCTTTGGAAGGTAGCTGGGTTGATGTCCGAGCCCCGAGCTGCTGCAGCTCAGATGGTGCTCCAAACTGAACCGGTTTGAGCGACGAGTTGCAGCCCTAGCTCCGCTGAAAGGTCATTCGCCTGTCGGTTGGGGTTCCGAAGAGTCTGCTCCTGTAAAAATACTAGAACAAGTGCTCAAAAAATACTCCAGACAAAATATCAATATATGGTGCCAACATGTGTACGACGCATACAGACACAGCTAGGCGTAAATTCTCTCTGAGCGGCATGCAACAAGCCTTTCGTGTCAACTGTAATTCACGAGCCATGCGAACCCCTGCAATAAAAACTAGAAGGCCGTGTTCCGAGAGAGGGACAGAGGACAGAGAGGACATGATGTCATTTACTGCATCGTAAGTACATATCTGACGTCGTTGGTGAGCCCACTCTTCCTTCGTCAGCCATATTTTATTTGACGTCACCCAGCAGAGTACTGTCGTTTGAGAAGGCGCCATGAGATGTTTGTAGAGGTGATTTGCATGACCTTGAATCTAAATTCTGGCTACAGGTACCGTGAAAATTTGGAGGGGGGGGGGGCAGGAAAGTTTTGTTCCTTTTGTGATCCGTAATCGGGTGATTCGTACAAGCAGTTCAGTAGGTTTTCACACGACACTGATATATCGCCATTATAAAGAAATTGACGCTGAAAATTTAAAGATGAGGTTTCATAGAGACGTATTAAATTCCTTCCTCTCAACACTAATCCCTAATGTCATGAAACTCTCGTCAAATCCTACATCCATCCTCAGTCCCACCACCTTTCATGTCCATGACTGTCCTGTCCTCTCGGTCCCATTAGCGTTCCATCGCGACGACCTCACCACCACTGAAAAGCCGCGCGTCCCATCCAGGAGCGCTGGGCCTCCAGGCGGCGACGTCTCGTGCATACTGAATAGGCGGCAACTCTGAACTGGGAGCTCCCGGCTCGTGGCAGCGGGCAGCGGGCAGTCAGTGAACGCTAACATGTGAAACTGGACATTCTGAACACAGTGCTCCCGGACGGCGGTCAAGTCAATGGTCAGTGGCAGAAAAGGTATTGTTTCCTGTTCATCGATGAACAAGAAACAAGACTAAACGCACCGAGCAGGGACAACTCTGAACAGGTTGGCTGTGGTAGTGGCAATGAACACTGGAGACAGGGAACAGGACATAGTGAACAGGTAGCATTTCCTAACAGACGAGAGAGAGAGAGAGAGAGAGAGAGAGAGAGAGAGAGAGAGAGGGAGAGAGAGAGAGGGAGAGAGAGAGAGCGAGAGAGAGAGAGAGGGAGAAGAGAGAGAGAGAGAGAGAGAGAGAGAGAGAGAGAGAGAGAGAGAGAGAGAGAGAGAGAGAGAGAGAGGGGAAGAGTTTGTGTGCATGAACTCATTGAACTCGAGTCGCTTTAGTTTGAGCTGGCTCAAAGTTCACTCGCCAGGTGTGTTCACCGTTCAAGGTCTGTTGAGTGTTTACAAAGTGAAAACTTGAATATCATCGTGAATGTGCAAGGCAGTTTCAAATGTCCTAATAGAGAGACACCGGATGGCGTAAATATGCTCATACAGATTAAGAACCAGAAGCACTCACAAATGAATAGGTTTGTGCATCTAAATAAAATACATCTACCGTTAAAAATGATGCAGCTACCAAAATACAGGGTGGGGCAGCATAATCGGGAATAAATATCAAACGGGATTATTTGGTCATGAATTTAAAAATATAGCTCCAAGCACTATTTTAACAACATCCCATCAATCGGTCACCTTTTACCTATCCCTCATCCTATTTGACCGCCCTTCGCGTCGATGACCTTCTCAAGGCGGGTCCAAAAGCACGCGCATGCACGTGCAACCTCCTGCTTGTCCATGATCGCCCATCAGCTTCGTACCTTGCACTGAAGACCGTTTTTACTGATGATAAGTTGTTCATTAAACTTCTACCAAAAAACGCTCCATATAAAGAATTTGGTCGGATTTAAATCGGCGGAGTTGAAGGACCAGAAGTTTTTGGTTCATCTCAGGTGGAGGTGCCCTACACAATAACATGTCGTCCTCACTGCAGTACCAGCACGGACAGAGTCCTCGTAAGACGTGATCTGGACCGTCAGTGATCCTCTCTTCCGACGACTCCACGTGAGTCTGCCATAGTGTGGATGTATTTACCAGAGGTGCTCGTTTTATCCGGGCTCGATGAAGTAGGGTGCACCACGTGCACCTCCCTTGAAGACCACCCATAGGTCCATCACCTCAACAGGATGTTTACTTTGCATGACCGCTGCAATATTCTCGATACAATCCCCTATATGGCATGCCATTCTTTTTTATCGTATTCCAGTCGGTGATAAGATTTTTGGTCGCTGAAGTTTTGAACATTGTTTCTTTTTAATATGCTCAAGAGCTTCTTCCTTATATTCAAGTGAGTCATCTTGTATGTCCTCTGCTAAGAGTTATTTTACGACGATTACGTTAACTTTTTGTCCTAAGTATCCCCACACAATCCTTATCGTCCGTGATAACACGTTGATCTGTCCAGCAACCTTTACGTGGAATGGCATTGTTTTAAACAAAATGTTCTTGTTTTACTCGTTTAACATTAGTGTCTATGGGCGCGCGCAAAGCACTTGGAGCACCGTCGAACTATTTTGCTGCTCTTTTCCAGGAAGTTGCATGCTCATGGATGTAGTCATGTCAGATGATGCACAACTTTTGGGCGTTTCATTGCCATGATATAATTTATCAAAATAATGCCATGCCTACTCATGACCAGAGCCCAAAAAGCATTCCCGATTATGCTGCCCCACCCTGTAGTTCTCTCCTTTTGAGAATAATTTGATGGATTCTTTGATTTGAATAATTCCCACAGTCGAAACACCAGCGCACACTTAGTGTTGTATTGGCTCTCGGATTCCTGCAATAACCGTCAAATATATGGTTGCTGTGAAAATGTCTTTGAAGTGTTTTATAATGATTCCATATCTCATGACTGCGGTATCTTTAAACGGTCAAATTCATGCAGGTTTTATTTTCCATTTTTACTATTGCAAAAAGGCTAACGATTTTTCGTGTCAACTAGGCATCGTGACCGACCGAGGCACGCACTAGCACGAACTGACCTAATCCACTTCTGCTGCCTTGCTCCACCCGCGTCTGTTCACGATGGCACCGTGAAATCGCTTAGTGCGCGAGTGCCGTCCTGAAAACGTCACCAAACCCTCACCCAGCTGTCGCCTCCACCCGGCGCACGCTGCTCTCCAACGCCAGAGAGCTGCGCCGGCGATGTGGTGATTTCAAGAGTGTTCCACCGGGTGTTCCAGCTGGTGTTCCGGCGAGCACGTGCTCCGGAGAGATGGTATCACTGGAGGAGAGCTCGCACATTCTACCACGCTCCACGGTCGGCGCGTCGGTATTCGTCGGGATGTGATTGACTAGAATTTAGTAGCGTTATCTCTGGATTCGAACGGTTTTGTCAATGCTGGTCGAATAAATGCGGTGGATCTTCGTCCCTTAGCTGGCCTGAATCGGAATGAGGAAAGATTGATATCGGTTCTTGTGATATGCGACTGGACAGACGCGACGCATCTGAGCAGTAAGCGGCCTGAGTGACATGCAGTAGGAGTCGATTTTCCGATTGATATCAATCTTTTCTTTTGTTTTGTTAAGATGTTACAATTATAGCTTTCTCGTTCGGTAATTACGTAGCTTCAAGGAAGATGAGCTTGATAGTATGTGAAAGCACGCAGTGTTATGAAATTGAATTGTACAGAAAAACCCTAGTTTGTTTGTAACCTATATAGATAAAGAAATGATATTCCTGTGTGATTGTCTATATAAAGATAAAAGCAGCAAATTGCTTTTTGTTAATGAGATAAGAATTCGTTGATACCTATACATGCCTATACCATTGGACATCGAGCTATACCCGTGATTGACTAGCGTTGTTGATTCTTGTATGTACGTGCTGTTTATCTTAAGTACTCGCCCATTATCTCTAATTTGATATTATCTCAAACATTTCAAATTCACATGTCTAGGTAGGATAGGAATTTATTTACAAAACAATACATCCCTCACAACACAACAGCGACGTAGAGCAACAATTATGCACATTCACACACATTGGCACACGTGAATTTGTGTGATTCGTGTACAGCAGTGCACATTCTCGATGCAACATTCACTTTTATCAACAGTAGTATGCATAACAGCATGCACCATGCAACGCAAACGCCCCACAGAAGAAAAAAAACGATTACGCAGGCGATACCGTACTAATAACATACATATACAACATTATGATATGTGCATTCGCATGATCCCAATGCTTTCAATTACACTGAAGGTGCATATATACTTGCAAATGTATATCAATATAGGCCGTTGGTCATTAAAAAGTCGTGTCAATCATGTCAACATCACTTTGTTTCACACAGTTCCATCTACTGAAAAAGTGAGCCGAAGTGCAGCAAAGGCCACTAATAAGTTCATAGCTGCCTCTCAACGTTCTCCAAAGCTCGGAAAGTTCGAGCTGCAGGCACAAACAGCACACACTTCAACAAAGTATGCTCAGGATTCGCTCAATATAACTTACATATCAACATAGGCTCAAAATACACATCATTATGAACATTCAGACGCGAGAATACTGCCAAGAAAAGTCTACTTATAGTTAACCATCACATAAAAAGTCGAGAGACATCTATAACTTGTGAAATATGTAGGAAAATAGCATGACACTAGGGTTACCCGCGTGCTCTGCAACGCGAAGAAGGGTTATTTTTGACCCGTGGGTATTGGGTTGGTCTGTGTCGATTTGGTTGGTATCCATTTCGTTCGATTGCTTTTTGACGGCAAAACATTTTGTAGTGAAACGAAATAGATCCATCGCATCGAGGTGCCCGTGTCGTATTATCATGCGTTCTTCTATAGAATGATTGGAAAACTGACGTGAAGTCTTTTGAGGGCCATCGATGAATTTCGCTAAAAATGACAATGTAATGGTTCGGAACATTTACATTTTTAAAGAATACTGTTGCTCATCATGCAAAAATGAAGAGTGAATATTGGACAGAATTGAATGCTCTATCTAATGGTATCATATTTAATTGCCAAAGGTATCAGGTTATGCAGCAAAAGCCGTGTAATTAATAAAGTGACACATCATTGACAAACACCATTTTCTCCCGTGATTTGCACCGCCTTGATTTGGATCAACCAGCTTTTCTTAATTTTTATATGAGAGGCGGTACATTTCTCTTGCCAACAGGCGTTGTTCCAACTCGCTCCGTTTAACGGTCACCTAAAAATAAAATCAATTCCAAAATCCGTCTAAAACCGCAATTTTTCAACAAAAGTACCAACACAGGTGCACGTGGCGCGTGCCATCCCCTGCACCGCACACCATTCGACAGCCCGCTCAATTATCTACACGATGCTGTTTTCCCCGTGCCGGTCGGACCCCTGGTCACCAAGATATTGCACGGGGACTGGACCCGTGTCGGCCAAAATTAGCCGTTTTCGCCCGATTTCGCACGCCGATTTATACATGTAAAGTCTATGACGCGAATTTGCACTTTTTGAGCACACGCCACGCGCTCCCTATCAATCCGATCGAGCTGAGACCCCTCAAAGGCACGCCGCGCATCCTTGATCTATAAGTTGTGCAAATTTCACCGGGCTAGGTGCAACGGTCTGGCCTGTAGTCCACGCAAAGCACGACCAAGTCGGGACCTCGGTAACGGACAGACGCACCCTCCTCAAATAGTAATATAGATGTTGAGAAGGAAATACCGAGTGATGATAAAGGTAATTTGACTTTCACGTTCTATAGTTTGTTTTGCCATACTTGTCTCCATTATTTCACTTATCTCCAGCAAAAAATCATTCTACATAGCAAAGGGCAGTAGCATAATATCAACGAAATACATATGACAAATATTACATCATAAAACCATTGACGCGTGTTTAAAAGCCAGAGTGCCGGAATTCGCTCGCTCTTCTTGTCACTTCCATGTCACTTCCGTCTCAGCGGAAATGTTGGAAGACGACATTTTTCCAAATACGACCTTTCAAAAAGGCTAAAGATTGAAATATATCCGTTCAGCGAGCGATTAAGGATGATTCACTAGGTGAACATTATCGTCTAAAGCACAACAAACATCACAATCCCAAACGACACTCTGCTCACAAGAACCTCCTGTAGTAGATAGGCTTCCTGCTGCTATCTCCATGCATAACATAAAAGCTGGAAGGGCGACCGTTCGAAGCGTACTTGTATTTCTTCATGGCGGACCCAGATCGCGATCCCTTGTAATACTCAGCGTACTTCTGTCGCAGACGCTCCGCCGGGCTGAGCTTCAGCTTCGGCAACTGCGTCGTCGTCGTAGGGGGAGGAGTCGTGGTCGTGGTCGTCGTCGTCGTCGTTGTCGTTGTTGTGAACTCAGAAATCTCGTTGGATTCGACATCATCGACGTCAGGAGGCGCCAGTCCGAGGTTGTAGTGGTAAACCTGATCGGGCTTACCGTTGATGTTGAACTGAACCGGAACTCTCGCGAAGTTGGGTTTGGGCGTGCTGCGTCGGCCGTCCGTGCCGATCTCGTTCAGGTTATAGTAGTAGGGGCTCGGTGGCAGGCGGATGAAGAACATGGGTGAGTTGCCGGGCGTTTTCACGCTGCTGATACGAGGTGAGGAGTCGCCGTCGGCGGTGCGACCCAGTCCGAGTCGCTCGAAAAGTCGCATGTTCTCGAAGTTGGCAGGCAAGCCGCTACTCAGGGCGGTGCAGAGCGCGACAACGGCAGCGAACCTGAGAAAGAAGAGACGGAGATATGTTAGAAATGCACCAAGTGGAATTATATTTTCGACTTTTGTCGAAAATAAGCGTGGAAATAAGCGTGGAAGGTAAATAACAGACAAAGTTGATCCTGAAAACCAAGAGGAGCTGTTACAACAATTATGCGATTACATTCTGCTCGCCAGTTTGGGATGAGGATAATTTTGTAAAAAGTCCCAAATGGACTGACTTATGGTTTGAGCTGATGGGGGTATAGATTGAAAAAGATAGAGCTAAGAATCTAGTTAGCGTTTCGATGAAATTGAGGTGCTAATGGATGAACGATGGATGAATGGATGAGAAAGAAAGGCCATATCGATATGCCGGAGCACTTAACCCGCGCACCGACGGGGGGGCGGATATCCGCCCCCCCCCTGAGGTTTTTCGCGAATAGCGGGAAAACCGCGGCGCGTAGCGCCGCGAAATTTGGTATGACTATTCCCTTATCAATTTTACACATGGTGTGCAAGTTTGAACCTCCTACCTTTCAAGGTCAGGTCACCAGGTCACTTTGAATGACCCAACCTCAAGTCACTTTTTTGCAACTTTGTCACCGTACCAGAGCTACAGTAGATGTCGGAGGCCTTTGAAAGTCGCAGGATGTTATTAGGTCATTAGTAGCTACAATTTGTATATCTCGGAATTTTGATATCGGTGACCTAAGGTCAGGTCAATTTCGCGACCTCCCCATTATAAGTCAATGGGGGAAAAATCAACTCCCTGTTTTTACCACTAAAACGGGTCGGAATGGCCCCATATACCATACATGACTTCATATACGATCAACCTTCACTACCTTGAGGTCTGTTTTGCTGTTGGGCAGCTGTGAGGTCATGTGACGTCATCAAAGGTCACCAAAGGTTTTTGGCCAATAACTCCGTACAGGAACAAGATACAGACGCGTGGATGGTCTCATTGTGTTCAGCTCGTCAAGACGCATCGAATGATATACATGATGACCTCGAGGTCACGTGACCTGAGGTCAACCTTTGACCTTGACCTTTCGAGGTCAACATATATATCATTCGATGCGGATTGACGAGAGGATCACGATGATGCCCTTAGTTTGTTCCTATCTTGACTAATTCGAAAGTTATTCGAGAAAAACTCTCTCCATATTTAGCGCCGCCATTTTGACTTTTCCGACCCCTGTGACGTCATCTTTGACCTGACCTGAAAATGACCTTAGTAAAAATTGTAGATCTTGACCGTGCGTATCCGATGCCGTTTACCGCTTGTCGCTATCTTGCTTCGTTCTCGAGATCTCAGGGGGGGGGGCGGTCATCCGCCCCCCCCCCCCCCGTCGGTACTAAGTTGGCGCAGACCCCCGTCGGTGCGCGGGTTAAAATGATACAATCAATTTTTTACGTTCATGATAACGGTAAAGAATATAGCCGAATCCTGTTCGTGTGTTGGGCTTTCAAGGAGGATATTCATCCATGCAACTTCAACTTTTGTGACGGATCACCAGTAACACCGTATTTCGGCAAACGGGCAGGAATGGGAACTTTACCGATTGAAGGCCGAGGCAGACAGCGCCTTCGAATAAATTCAGGGTTCGTCAGAATAAGACAAGATACAATAAAAATACGCGTATGGTCCAATTAAATCCCAGGATTTCCTTTTGTAGTTGACACCACTGCAAGTGAAACATTTCTTTTCTTCCGAGGAAAATCACAACATCCGGTATGACAGTAGGAGCTGTGTCAAACGGTGCACTGACTCTCGAATGTAGGTTGTATAGGAGTGACAGCAACGGGTGTTTTGATGTTAAGTGAACGATTCAGACCAATAAATGTCGTTAGGGAAATACACGTCAGGCAGTGGGTTTCCCACAAGTTGTAGGAAAATGCCACGCTTTGTAACTTGTCCGAGTGGGATGTTTGTGTCATAGACTTATTGCTGTCATTCACATTTATTCGCCTCTGGACATGTGTTCAATTTTTACATTGTTGACTTGCGATAATAACCGATTCACCGCTTGTCTCCACATCAAATTTTATCATATCCACTACCGTGCCACCACATCCAATACCCACCCAGCCTACTGACTCAATTAGTCCCCAAACCGCTACATCATTTGGTTCATCTCATTCACACCACGATAGTAGTCTTTTCACACGGCTCCAAAGGCCGCCGTGCTACCTCGGCCGTTACAGTGAGTCGGATCAGCCCCACTCCCAGCGGCCATTGTCGGCGAGATCATTCAATTACTAGCCGCGTCCCACCGCTCCCGTTATATGTTCATGTTCACCGGCCGCTGCCCGGTAGCTTCAGATACAGGCCACGCTAATCCCACACACCTCCCAGTCTCTCGTCATTGGTCCACACAAATACCACACTAATCCTAATCTCTCATCCGCAGCCCCGCCTGAATCTCACGCAAACCTCAGCTTATCAATTTCCGAACCCACCAGCCTCAGTTTGGTGCTCTGCGCCGGCATCAAAGCTGACTGCGTCACGATCGTCACCAAAACACCAAACGGTGACCGAGTGACCGTCTGACCAAGCGGTGCGTCACAATCGAGTCCACTGCGCCGCATTGGTCTCTGATGCGCCGTGACGTCTCCGACAATCTCACAGCCTCCTGTGGTGGTGATGGAGGGTCCCAGAGAGAAGATATTCCCACAGAACCGACCGAGTTTCCGTGGGACTAACGGCACGGAGAGGAGAGAGCTGTCGCACAGCCTTGCTCCATCCTGCACCCTCACAGTTTACACTAATTGAAACCTTGCAAAATCCTATTCGCCACGCTCATCGTGTGACGGACGGGCGGCCCGGCCCGCACGCATGTACAATAATAAAGTTGATTGACGCTGCGCTTTGCAGTGCCCAGCCGGCCGCCCTGCGTCCTACATTCACGCGTGTCGGTCAGCGTCCCAGTTTCGTACACGTGTGTGTCATCATATATAAAGTCCTGTATCTGACGCCAATACAATCCAGTTCACCAGCAGACGTCTTTGCTGAAGGTAAGGGCTAAAGGCCCCGCTGACATTTGGTGGCAGCGGTGGCTGGGGTATCTATTACCCCCCCCCCCCCAACCCGGACCCATGTCCCGTTGTGTATAGTTATTTTTTTTTTTTAGGTAGAAAGGTTTTCAACTCTGTTCAATTTTGATATAGGATCCTCTCTTCTCATAGTTGGTTTCATACTTAAAAGATATCTCTCTCTGGTCTTACCATGCCGGTCGATCATACCCAACCAGTTTCTAGCCTTAACATTCACCAAATTTCGACATTCATACCAATTTATGACGGTTCATTCCCGATTCAAGATTTTTTGCAAGAAGTCCGTGACGCTAAAACCATGGGTTCCTGGCCCGACAGCGTCACCCTCAAAGTAGCTAAAACAAAACTGGACAGTAAAGTGGCCGAACTGGTCCGAAACCGTCATGACTTGAATCATGCTCCCACCTTTGAAGAATTCGCTACTCGCCTGACATCCGCGATCAACTCTGATCGCCCCGTATCATCCCGTTTACAAGATCTAATGACTTGCACACAACATCCGCAAGAGTCAGTCGATGCGTATGCATTCCGACTCAGAAACAAAACCAAATGTTTGACCGAATGGGACGCTACCCCCGAAACCAAACAGCTAAAAAACCGAACCGCAGCAGCAGCTTTCGTCAAAGGCTTAAAACCAAGCCTACGTCAGCTGGTCTTGCCACAAAACCCATCCGATTTTGATGCCGCCATAGCTTTGGCAAGAACCCAAGAATTAAATTGTGTGTTCCTTCCATCTTCGGACACATCTGCTACACATTCTGTGTCGGCCGCGGAGTTAAACTCGGACGTGGTTCAGCAGTTGCAGCACCGTGTGGCCAGCCTCGAGCTCGCCGCCTCCCAAACCCCTCAGCGTGGGAGAGGACGACAGCCCTTCCGGCGAAACTTTCGCCAGCGTGGGTCGTTTCCCAATCGTGGTCGTGGCTATTCAACGCCACCGTCATATACTCACCAGCGAAACGCATACCCAGCTCGCCAAAGTCATTCTTCCTATCGTCCTCCCTCGTATTCACAGCACCAACAATGCTGTTCAGATCACTGTCACTCATCGAGGGACCGCTATGATCGTTATCGCCGCTCATCAAGGTCTCACTCTCGGGACCGACGGCACCGATCTTATTCAAGGTCGCAATCCCGATCTCCGGATCGGAGGGGATCGAGTCACTCCCGACGGAGTCCATCCCCAAACGGCAACCGCTCGCGACGCTAAATGGGACTACAGCGTTCGCGAGCGTGGCAGCTGATGACTCAGGCACGCGCCCTCGTCCTCCAATCTTGGAAATCTCTGTGACGGACCAAACAGGTTCAGCCTTATATGACACCGGATCCAGTATCTGCCTCATTAGCAACAAGTTCTTTCAATCGTGCAGTATTTCGAGTCCACTTGAAAAGTCATCACTATCTATTTTAGGAGTTACCGGTACCCCAATTCAGATTTTAGGTCATTGTCAAATACCCATCCACGTGTCTGACCGTACTATTCAGCATACTGTTTATGTGACCGATAAGTCACTTTCCTTTGGTTGCGACATCATTCTCGGCATAGATTTCATCATCCGCCACCAGCTACTGTTCAATCCGGACACAAAAAGTGTGTCCTTCCTGCAGCCTAGCGCCGCAACATCCACCCAGCGACAGACGCCGCAACGGCTCAGCCCGAGGCGACGAAAACGTGTCCGCTTCTTACTTGGCACCACTGACTCACCGCGCGACATTGATAACCCGTTGATCTCTTACGACGAAAACGATGCTTTCACTATCGATGAAGGGAAAAATCACCCTTTATTTTTGTACAGATCAGTCGAAATTCCAGCCTTTTCAGAAATGTTCGTTCAAATGAAATTACCGCGCTACTTGGTACCCTCTGAGGCCCCATACTTCATCCAGGGTCACGTCGATCAATCAACGGCAGGTATACAGGTCGCTCGCTCAATAGCGTTCTTGACCAAGTCGTACGTTTTAGTTCGT